CTGCCAGCACTAATCTACATTGCTACTAAGGAATAAAATTTCTAGTCTTGTCCATATAAATTGCATCGTACATTTCTTAGAAAAAATAAACGTTTCCACAAATGAATAAAATGTTTTCTAATTTGTGCCTGTGACAGCATCAAATACCATAGTTGATTAGAGACCTAGAGATTTAGGAATTGGTGTAGCCTTATACCATGAAACCCTAGGAACCTATCCAACATAGATATGCAAAGATTTCTAAGTGTGAAAGTACAACTAGGCCGGAGAGGTCTCCCCTCCGTGTTCCTTTGATTTGTGTAGGGGAAAGCAAGGTTTGAGAGGGTGGGGGTGAAGGAAGGGAAATGGTGGTGCAGCTAGAGGAAGAAGAAAGGAGCAGGAAGAGGAAAAGGGAGGCCACACCCGTTCCTGTATGCCACTCCTGCTGCTCCCGACGTGTTGGCGTGGCAGGGGTGCCACGTGGGCACGTCAGCGGGCAATTGACCACCATAGTGGCAGGCTAGCCACGCAAGCTCGCCTGGGAGTAGTTTTAAAATTTCTTTTTAAAAAGGATTAAAAATAGAAAAAATTCGGAGTAGTTGGCTAAAAAACCTTATTGTCTCGCTAAATTTGGTTAAGCTAGACTAGTTTTCCAACTGACTGTACTAAACTCTATTCCCCACTGTCTCAAATAAATTAGTTCCTAGAATCATCATAAAGTTGAACTTTCTCAAGTTTAACTAACTTTATAGGAATAGTAAGGGCCTCTTTAGATCTGTCCATATAAACTTTAGACCTCTAAATTTTAGAGTTAAAGTTTGATGTAGTCTAAAGTTAGCTCTAAACTTTATTCCTCCTTACATTAGAAATTTACTCTCTCTGTCCTAAAATAGAAGTCATTCTCGCTTCTAGAGAAGTCAACTTTTTTTAAAATTTTGACCAATTATATATAAAAGAATATTAATACTTATAATACATAATTAGTATCATTAGATAGATCGTTGAACATACTTTCATAATAAATTTATTTGAAGATATAAATATTGCACGCATTTTCTACAAACCTAGTCAAAGTTGAGAAAGTTTGATCTGCACGGATCCTATAACTACTTATGTTATGGGATTGAGGGAGTAGAGCTTAAAACTGAGCTAAGTATTTATAGCTCTAAAATTTAGAGAAGAGGATCCAAAGAAAGCCTCAAGTAGCAACATCTAAAACATTGAATAAGTACATTATGGAAATATATTTGGTGCTACAAATATTAAACTAGTTTGGTGTGAATATTGGGTTACAAAATTCTATCAAATTTAAAATATTTTGATTTAATTTAATTTAAGACGAATGGAGTAGTTAATTCGGAGTATTTTTGTAATTGGTTAATTATATGCGCACCCTACTCAATCCCCCGAAGCCCCGAGTCTGAACTGCACCGAGCACGAATCATGATGGACTAGAAAACAGCGTAGCTTTGCCGCGCCTTATATAGAATTTGGGCCAGTGTTTGGCCACCTTCTGATGGAACACGCCTTATATAGAATTTGGGCCAGTGTTTGGCCACCTTCTGATGGAACATGCAAGCGTATTGTGCACTGCTTATTTAGGTTGAACCTTGTGATGGATATGCAGTTCCCAATGCGTGTTAAGAGTGGTCAATGCAAAGTTTGAAACTTGGAACGTATTACGTATATGACTGTTAGATATAGATATATTTGTTAACATATTACATATAGATATATAAAATAGATCACTTTTTCATAGATATAATTTTAATCTGTCATCCCTGATCATTCTGCCAGAAATTACACGTTTCGGCCCTTTTCGTTGAAATTTGGTTTATGCTGATGCTTATGCTGATTTATTCGTTCCATTGATGTTGGTTCGTGGTCATCATGAGAATCTTCTGAAGAAATCAATGCAGGCTGCCAGCCTTTCAAAGTTTCAGAATCCACTTCTACTGAAAACCACCGAGTACTACTTCCAAGTAACGACGGCTTTACGCATACGGTACATTAACCTATTTAATAAGGACAGATAGCTTAGCAGGTTTCAAAACTTGATTGGGCTAAGCATAGAATATCAGGAATGTTATGGAAACCAATAGCCTTTCAAAGTTGTTTTAGCCCTTGTTTAGTTCGCGAAATTTGGAATTTGGGGCTACTGTAGCACCTTCGTTTTTATTTGGCAAATAGTATCCAAACATTGACTAATTAGGCTTAAAACGCTCGTCTCGCAATTTCCCACCAAACTATGCAATTAGTTTTTCTTTTCGTCTACATTTAATGCTCCATGCGCAGGCCGCAAATATTCGATGTGACAGGTACTGTAGCAATTTTTTGAACTTTGGAGTCCAACTAAACAAGACGTTAACCCATAGGGATGTCTTGTATGTTGTAACCCATTCAACTCAAAAAGGTATCAACGGGTAAAAATGGTAGTTGTAGGATTATTACTTGAGAAAGCATTATTTTTCAGGTAATAATCCTTATGCGTTACATGTCTTAGTTTTCAGTTGTTAAAAGAAGCTCTGCGCTCAACAGGTAGCAAAATACGATCCTAGAAATATTATAAAAATTCGATGATTAGTCAAATACTAAATGACTATTTTCTAAGAAAGCTTAGAATTGAAAATCACATATTAGTGAGGCATCCATGTGAGGATAAGATATTTTAAAAAGTGCCTTCGACTTATATAATCAATACCTAGGATGGTGAATATCATGCATTCAATTGATCACAACAAAATTCAGCTAACTACAGTTCAAATTGTAGCTTTAAATTTTTTTTTACATAAATGAATACAACTATGTATTTCTAATTTCAGTTCTAACACAAATTTATAGATACATTTACAGCATGCTGGCAATCCCTGAATTTATAGGAGCTGATCTAATTACGGGTAAGCTCTTTATTAAGTGTAATCTGAAACATGTTAGCTAGTATGTGAGCAGGACTGCTATGTAAAGAGGAATTTATATATCTCAGAACCGTAAGTAATTGCTAGGAAATAAGCCAGAATACCAAATGTGTTAGGCATAATCCTGATACCAATAGATAGAAAATCTATACAATCAGTTTCAGAATTTAGGGATGCATCATTATTTTTTCTATGGATTTTACAATTTCTTGTATGAATAAGTACATACACACTGAATTATCTATGTTGTACTATTCACCTCTTTGATGCACGGAGAGGCTTGGATGGCCGCTTCAACACTGCTTCCCTGACGGTCAGCAACGACACTGCCTGATCAGAGCAGGGGAGAAAAGCTTTCACAGGCGACCATGCAACGGCCGGCTCTGAGTATGGGCTGTCTCCGTGTGGATTTTGTTGGCTAGTAGCCCTTCCACGGAAAATCACGAGCAGCCACAGCTGTGGGCTTGTGGCATTCAGGGTTTTTTTTATCTTAACTCTGTGCTTTGAGCATGACTTATTGCAGTACAAAATCGACAATCATGTGAAGTTGGACCTCAAGCAAGAGGTGAGTCCAGCAAGTTACTTCCATCTGTCAAGCAAAATAAGACAAAAAAAATCCTCACTGATCAAGATCCTATTGACAATCATTACTCAGAATGCATTGCTTCCTCTGGTCTATGCAATATTGCTCCTGGATCACCAGCAAGGTGATGTGATCATTAAGAGGGAAAACAGTTGAATAAAAAGTGGCACTAGCACATGGGGAAACCTTCAGCATCACATGGGGAAGCCTTCAGCAGCACAACCATTGCAGTCTGAGAATGTATTTATCAAGAAGGTATTTAGATTTCAAGGGGTTGCGTCAAGAACACCTCCATTTGTTGTTACTTAGTCATGACAGACATATCAAACACCTTGTGCCTGAATTCAATCAGTATTTAAGTGCTGCTTGAACTGAATAGAAAAGCAAATAGCTACTTAAGAACTGAAACATGGTATTCTCTTTGCACACCTAAGAAATTGTGACCAAGCTAGTCCAGGACAGTGACCAACCTATTACTAGTTCCTAAATCATAAATAGCAGGTATCAAAGACATTTCACACACATTAGTAGCTATCACACAGTGAGTACAAAGAGGACTGGCTAGAACCAGTACTGCAAACAAGATCACAAAGACAGCCCCAACAAGCATTGATTCATGGTATACACATGGAGACAAAAGGATGTGCTGTTTACCTCATGGGAATTTTGTCGAATATGTCCTGTGCGCTATAGTTGTCGTCGATGTCCAGTTCATCACCGGCTGGCGTCCACATCCGATCTGCTATAATTTATATTAAAAAAAGATACGTCAATTAAAAGACTTATTGTATCAAGGATGAACTAATATCTGCTTTAAACATCCACATCAATTGGCCTTTATTGTATTGAAGAGGTTTAAGCGAAAATAGAAGAGACGAATCGAACCAGGAAATGCTATAGCTGGGAAACAGTTTTGTCAAGGTGCAGGTGCAGGTGCAGATAGAATTGGTTTTTGATTCTGTGCATGGTCCAAGCCATCTCTTCGCAAATTGATTGTAGCCATCCCACCTGACAAAACATCAGTCTTATAAATGGTTGACTCAAGCTTCAGCATGCATCATTGAGGACGAGCACCACATGAGCAAGAGAGGAAAAACACAAGGTGAGGACGAGCCCTTACCAAATTGAAGAAGAAGACACCATGAGGGGCTGCTGCGTGTGGGGAGACGTTCTGTTCGTCAGCTTGGATTGAACCTCGGTATGATCCTTCGAGGGACGAGGGGGACCGGGAGACCGAGGCTGGGGAGAGCGATGAACGACGGCTGGAGTGGAGCCTAGCGACGCTGGACGGCCGAGACCTTCATTGCGAGGGCCGAGCGCTCCACCGACGGGGACGCCGCGCCGGGGTCGCCGTGGGAGGGGGCCGCCGGGGCTACAGCGCTCGAGGTTCACGCCCGCGCCGGGGTGGGCGCAGCCGCCGTGCCTGCGCTGGCCGCCCGCTCCGGGGTGGCCGGAGCTGCCACGCGCGCACTGCCGGCCGCGCCGGGGTCGCAGGGGCCGCTGGGGCCCCCGCCCGCGCCGCGATGTCCGAGACCGGAGAGTCCGGGGTCGCCGCGCCTGTACCGGGGTCACCGGGAACGACGCGCCCGCACCCCGCCCGCGCTGGGGCTGCTAGCCCACAGGGCCGCGCCGGGATGAGGGAGGTGCGGGGGCGGCGGAGGACGGCCAGGTCGAGCGCGGTTGCGCCGCGCGGCTCTGAAGGTCCGTGGGTTTACGGGTAGACGCCCGAACCTACCCGCAATCGGACGGACCACAAAGCATTAACGCTCGATTGGTCGGCGGCGCCATAGCAACCTTATCTGCTGGAAACTTCAGTGACAAGAACGCTGGCTCATTACTCATTATTATTCTTTCACTTCACACACACACACACACTCCCCTGTCCCCTCCTCCCCACTTCTCCTGCCAAGAAAGCCACCGTTCAAGAGCGAAGAACCAAGATTCTAAAAAGCAGCAGCGCCACCAGTGGAGCTGTCGCCTGGTCAGCGCCTCTGATCGACGATGAGGAGCCGCAGATGGCGGAGGACGGAGCCGCCTCCCCCGCGGGCTCGGGCCCCGGGATCCAGGTCGCTATCTCCTCAACGCGGCGGCGGCGGGTCGAGGTCGCGCTCGCCACGCCGCGTCCCAATCATGGCGACGAGGATGGGAAGCTCGGTGCGGATGACCCGGGGGCCGCCGCCGCCGCTAGGAACGTCCAGCGCGGATGCTCCCGCTGGCCGCTGGCGACGGTGGGGAGCACACCGGCGTCTTGGAGAGGGTCGCCATTCGCCAAGATGACGGAGAGGCTTCCCGCTCCCGCGCCTCTGCTTCCGGAGGAGGCAGAGCTGACTAGGAGGAGCCGAAGATGGCGGAGGACGGGGCGGGGGAGGTTCCTAGTGCCTTCGTCGGCTCCGACCGAGGAGGCGAGTAAGGCATTTGTCTGAAACAGCCGAATTTCAAGGGTATAAACTACTAAGGAACATGCAAGAATATAGGAAAGCAATCAAACGAATTCTGAGAAATTTCTCAGTTCAGTGGTCCGAAAACAATATTCAGAATTAACATGCAAGAGTACAAACAAATTCTGACAAATTTCAGAGAACCAATTCTGAAAATTGCTTCTCAGAATTGCTTTTCTGGAAAATTTGTTATGTCTGATTTTTTTTGGAGAAATTTCAGAGAACCAATTACTACTCTTGCATTTGCTTTTCTAACCTTAATTGCAATGTGCTTATGTCTGAAAAAATTTGTTATGTCTGAGAACCAATTCTGAGAACCAGTTCTGAAAAATTTCAGACATAACAATTTTTTTCAGAAAAAAAAATTCAGAACCAATTCTGAGAAAATTCTTGCAAGAGTACAAACAAATTCTGAAAATGGTAAATTTCTCAGGAAAGCAATCAAACCACTGAACTGTAAAATTTTCAGAATCTGCATTTGTCAGAACCACTGAACTGTAAACTACCTTTACAATTACTTCTTTCTCTGAACTATCTTACGCATGTGTCTGAACCACTGAACTGTAAACTAGTCCTTTCTCTGAACTATATGTCTTACAAAGAATCCTCGCAGCGGGTGCAGAGATCAACAGTTAAGCATCTTACAAGTTTAACACCCAGCACCTGTACAGATAGAGCACCAAAGCTTGATACAGCCGAAGAGCAGAAAAACAGAAAAGACTATCAAAGCATCAGAACTACATCCCCCAGGCATCAGCAAGGCCTGCAAATCTAATCCATTTCCCATCCAAAGATGTCTTCTCCATGTCCTTGAGACCTTGACACTGTAAACTATCTTTACAATTAGTTGTTTCTCTGAACTATCTTATGCATTAGTCTGAACCACTAAACTGTAAACTAATCTTTTCTCTGAACTCAATGAACTACGTCTTACAACGTAAACTGCAAAACCGATCGTCGTCTTCTACTCCTTCCTCGCAGCGGGTACACAGACGAGGGCCTCCTCGTGGGTTGGGGAATAACCTGGGGCGAACTGGCACAGTCAGAACCCCATCTTCTGATAACACTCTCTGAAAAGTGAAAACAGTGAAAACAGTCAATTGTCTGAACTGCGAACCTGAATGCCTGAAAACAATCAAGAATGGGCCTGTTCGTTTAGTCAAATTTGACAAGTTATGCGATATCTTTGAGTTTTCACAAAAATTGGTCAAATTTCATTAAAATTTAAATTTCTTTGGACTGAATTTGGGTAAAATTGCATGGTAAACAGCATTATCAGTCCTACTATATGATCAGCAGCCTCCGCTATTTTTTGAAAAAGGAATCTGTAGCATAAGCATTGAAGGGAACACCGCAACTTACAAATTACAATGACGATCGACGGCAATATAGGAAAGCAAAGAGGCACATTGATTTTGTTCTGGCAATTAATTGAGGTTACCAACCTTAACGCCTGAAACCAGAACAGCTGGCAGCTGGTCCTCGGGAATCAAAACCCAGCCGTCCTCTCTGACTATGTTGAACACGTGGAAATGCTCTCCTGGGTGGTGGTGGGCATGATCGGGGCAGTAATCAGAAGAGAAGGCGCGGCTGCAGCTAGTGCAGAACCTGTCGAGGAAATGGGTCCGGCTGAAATCGCAGCTGACAAGACTCTGAATGATATCCCTACTCTGTCCCTGGTGAACTGCAGCGACCTGCAGGCAATCAAAAGGTGTTGACATTCTTTGGATCGACTAGAGTAGATCTAGGCGGATGAACTCATAGATCCATGAAACACATGCACATTTAGACCTAGAACACTACACCGAGAGGGAGATGAGCCTCCAGATGATGTCGCGGTTGTGCTAGCCATGGCATGGTTCGGGTGATGGAGGGACACGGGCAGCGGCGACGGGTGGAGTAGAGGTTGCACGGACGTCGATGAATGCGGTCGAGCGTAGGTGAGGCGACACGAGGATCACGGAGAGCTTTCCGTCAAAGGTGCGCGCCCTCTCGAGATCGGTTTAGGGTTTGTTTGGGGTTTGCGGCTCACGGCGAACCTCGTCATTGAGCCGGCCCCACCTCTTTAGTCGACGGGGCCACCACCAACCATGTAGGGTTAGGCGCCCCGAGAGACCAAGGCCCAATAGGTAGTTGGGCAATAGTCGAGAGATCAATCTAACATTCTCCCCTGATCTCACTATTACTTTTATCTTTAAACTTTAAACTTCAATCCTTTTATCCTTACTCATTTCTTCACAGATGATGCATAGAGCATGTCTCATCAGACGGTCAATCGCCGATAGAACTACGATGCACGTCTACGATCCGAAATAGTTACTTTAACTTTTGGGCCCTTTATAAGAGTCATAGGCTTTCCCTTAAACCCATGCCGGCTACATGTTCTCACGAACACGTTGGGCGGTAAGCCTTTTGTAAGCGGATCTGCGAGCATCTTTTCGGTACTTATATGCTCAAGACTTATCATTTGATCCCGGACTTTATCCTTCACAACATAATACTTTATGTCAATGTGTTTGGCAAAAGCACCACTTGACCTATTGTTGTGAGCATCTTGTCTTCTTTGATTATTATCGCAGTATAACCTCGATGGTCTATTGATGTCGTCAACCACCTTCAAACCGGGTATGAACTTCTTTAGCGTGCCTGCCCGTTGCCTCATAACATGCTACAAACTTCGGCATACATTGTGGGACGATGTAGTGACGGTTTGCTTTGAGCTTTTCCATGAAATAGCTCCCCTGCGAGAGTAAACACGTGACGTGGATTTTCTATTATCTCCCGCATAGTCGAATCTGAATATCCCACTATATGGAGTGAATCGGATCTTCTATACGTCATCATGAGGCCTTTCGTTCCTTGCAAATAACGCAAGACTTTCTTTACCAATTTCGTTGTTCTATTCGAGATTGCTCTGGAATCGCCAAGTAACCAGTAACAAATGCCAAGTCGTAGCGTACACACTTGAGCATATTACAGACATTTGAAGCATATGGAACCACTTTCATTTGATCGATCTCATATTGGAAAGGGCATTGAAAATCCCCATATCTGTCGCCCTTGACTATAGGAGCGGTGAGGGACTACATTTGTGCATCTTGAATTTCTTTAAGACTTTTCTATGTATGCCTTTTGTGGCAGTCCTAATACCCCTTTACTTCTATCTCGGTGAATCTCGATCCCTAGAGCGAGGAAGCTTCACCAAGATCTTTCATATCAAACTTTGAGGACAAAAACTTCTTTGTTTCCGGTAGTAGGTGACATCACTACTAGCAAGTAAGATATCATCTGGACAAGGAAGATAAACTTCCCATTCTTAAACTTTGCGTAGACACAATTGTCCTCAACATTATCTTTAAACCCAAAATTCTTTATTGTCTGATCAAACTTCAAGTACCACTATCTTGAAGCTTGTTTTAATCCATAAATGGATTTCTTTAGGGGCATCCCAAACGTTCTTTTCCTTCTATGACAAAACCTTTTGGTTGTGCCATGTAAACATTTTCTTCTAAGTCTCCGTTGAAATGCCGTCTTTACATCCATCGATGTAATTCCAAATCGTAATGTGCCACTAATGCCATTATGATTCTAAAGGAATCCTTACACGAGACCCGGAGAAAAAGTCTCATTGTAATCAATCCCTTCTTTTTGTGTAAAGCCTTTTGCCACAAGTCGGGCTTTATATCTTTCTATATTCCCTTGAGAGTCAAGTTTTGTTTTGTAGACCCGACCCTCTTGTTTTGGCTCCTTTAGGAATTATCTCCAAATCCCAAACTTTATTTGCATTCATTGATCTCATCTCATCTTCCATGGCCTCAAGCCACTTTGATGAATGATCACTTTTCATGGCTTCTTCAAATGAGGTGGGATCATCCCCATTTGAAATTCTTGGTGTTGTACACTTCATAATCAAAGCACGTAAATAGCTGATTTTCTAACTCTTTGAGACCTTCTAGGGGGCCTCAATTGGCACATTTTCATTTTGAGGTCTGTTGTTGCTCCCCCTCATGTGTGGCAATAGGTTCTATAGGATCCTGAGCCCCGGGTTCCTCATCATCATTCATTGTTGCCACAGGCGGGATAACAACAGTCTTTGGCACCACAGTGTAATGCAAAGAATGCAGCGAGTAGTGAGAAAAATGGCTCATGAATGATCGGAGTGGGTGCATACACCCGCTTCTCTTCAAGGTCAATTTCTCGAGCTACCATGCTCCCCTAATCATTTCATTCTCTAGGAAGACAAAGCATGTCTCGTTTCCACAAACTTTGTATGTTATAGGACATGAGAAACGAAAACCTTTTGACTTTTTTCGGGTAGCCAATGAAATGGCAAACATTTTGGGATCTAGCTTCCCAATGTTTGGGTTGCTAGGGGCTCCCCCACACACGCAAGTGGTTAAGTGATGGTACTCTTCCTGTCCACAACTCATCACGGTGTTTTGGGCACCGACTTATTGGTACTCTATTGAGAATATGAATGGCGGTTTTAACGCCTCCATCCACCTGACTTCGTGGGTAAAGTGGAGTAACTTATCATACTACGCACCATATCCATCAAGGTGCAAGCACGCCTTTCGCCTACGCCGGTGTTGAATATTTGGCGACTATACCATTCTCTGTAAGAACCTTGCAAAAGGTCCAGAACTTGTCCATATGGGGTATGCCGACCGTAGTACTCTCCTCCACGGTGACGACTATCTTAATCTTTAAATCATGCTGATTTTCAACTTACGCTTTAAATATTTTAAATTTATCCAAACGCTTACATTCTTTCTTTAATTGATAAATGTAGCCAAACCGAGAGTAATAAATCGTGAATGTTATGAATGAATCATAACCATCCACACTTTTCACGGAAAAGGACCACATATGTCATGTGAATAATCTGTAGAAATTCTGCGCTTCGTTTGGCATCTTTCTTAATTTTCTTTACATACTTTCCTTTTATGCAATCTCTACATTGTTCTAACTCGAGAGCTCTAATG